AAGCCACTGTTAAATCACCTCTCGATCACCTCTAACCTGAGACGTACGTATTGCTGGAAGGCGTTGGTCGCGTGATCGGATGTTCACTAACCTGTCTATGCCATTCCGTTACTTACGAGGACGTTGGAAGTAACTAATCTTGGTAGCTTGCTTTGTTGTCCACTTCCATGAGGATCGCATCAGCGCTTGCCCATGGAAAGCTGAACATGGTAATATTTTTGGCTAGATTTAGAGCCATCTCAAGGAGTCGATGTTAAGTGGTTGCTCGCGTTCAAATGCGGGCAGTTGCATCATGCTCGGCAAAGTTAGGGTTCTTAAAAGGTCGGTATGAGAAGCATAATGGACTATCGCTGTGCGGTACTACCTGACCTCCACATCTCCTCCACCGTTGGCACTCCAGTCTAGGATCAACAAACCTTGCTTTGAATGGTAAAAGCATACTGCGTTGCAATGCAAGCCGAATTCAAGCAACTTGTTCAATTCAAACAAGGCCTCATCCTTCTCGAAATTAACTTAATGGGGTAGTGAGGTCTTGCGAAGGCAAGCTAGCTGAATTAGGGGAGCGTTTATCAGCTTTGCTGCACCCATTATCTTTCTTTAAAGCTCTCCTGTTCACCTGAAGTGTTGCACAAACTGCATGCATCATGCTGTACGGATGAGCAGCAACAGACTACCTCTCCATCCCTTTTTTAAGACTGGTTGCTTAAGTTGCAGCAATACTAGCACTGCGAAATTTCTGTTACACACGTTTCGCCTCAGAGTACAGAGGGATTTTGTCGTTGTCATACTCGCCTGCACAGTGGAATTTCAAACCCTGTCAAATAAATGAAAAAAAACACAACGGATTGCAATGTGGCAACGCTTAGTATGCAGCCCCTCAGATATCGGATCCAGAGATTGAAGATGGGAGACTAAAATTACAATGCCAGAGCATGAAATAGCTCTCTCTAGACTTTTTGTAGGCAGTAAAATAGATCGGAATGTCATAAAAAGCACACTTTAAAACAATTTGGGCATATGCGCATGAATACATGCACACATTTACATATGTGGATGAACTACACAGTGCAAAGGATCTAGTCCAACCATTTCAATACATTGCCACGAAGAAATCTAGACAATTTTCAACTGTCAGATACGTGCTTGCCTGTGGAACCGGTGCACCACTAATGCGTGATCTAAGTGTCTTTCTAATGGGAATAGAATGAGAAATGGAGCATTCCAGTGGGTGTCTCGTACAACAGGCACTCAAATTAGAGGTCGTACGTGAATCACAAAACGAGACATGATGCTGGTGTTTGACTGAGGACAACACTGCTCAAAATGTCTCAGTAGCCTCAGCAGTTAATTAGATGTGGTCACACCCAGGTACTTGTGCCAACCTATCAAGGCATCTATTATCTGGAGGCTGAGAGTGAGGAGTTAAAAGGGCGATTGGACGGGATGAGTAGAGAAAGTGAGAGAGGCACTATTGCTGGAGGAATGCGAGAAGTAGTGTAGTTCAAGGGAAGCTGATAACTCTTTTGTTAGTGATAAAGAAGAGTTGCAGAATAAAGACACGTAGCGCATCTTGCTGTACAAAGTAAGCTTCCTCTAGCTAAAAACAATACGAGGAATTATAAGTCCGGAGTACGAAAGGAAGAAAGAAGGAAGTGTCATTAGTAGTGCATGGTATGGTATTATCCCCTGTTTAAAAGGTAAAAAATGGATATTCGCCCAAATCGCAGGGTGAATTCCGAGCGATACTACAGCGCACCAAATTTGGTCATGGCAGCTGCTTTCGCTAGACAGGTAAAGTGCTCAACGAGGCTGTTGGTCACGGAATGGTAGACGGTCTTTATCATTTCATCACATTTGCGCATGTATTGCAAATTTGAGAGTAAAGTAGAAGTTAAATGTGATCTGGGATCTCTGTTGGTGCTGCGTCGTTAGCAATGGCGTACACTTGCAGAGCTCTTGCAATCTCTCAGGACAGCTCATGCCTTTATAATGGGTCTTATTTGTTTTCATAAATAGGAACTTCCGAGAATTTATGTTCACTTCGATAATCCTCACTGATACATTTCAAGATGTTCGTTATTGCCACCTGCGATAGATGCATACTTTGCTCGACCCAGGAAGGATTGCGGTTTTGGTTTTTGAACAGCTTAGTAGTGCTAAAGTCGCATTGGAACAGCAAAGCGTCCTCATTATGGCAGTCAATTTTCTTCCAAAATTTCATCTTTTCATTTTATTCCATTAATTGGTAGTTATTCTTTGTATTCCTAATGCAAACGGTTGCATCTGAGAAATATGCCGAATTCTTTCCACGATGCGTGAAGTATTTTGGTATGGATAAAAATTACCACACACCACGCATTTCTACACGTGTCAGTCAAATTACCCCTTGTGAGTTGAAGCAACAGCTTGGAAATTCTTTACATGCATCTTTAAATAAAGGCGAAACGACTCAGGAGTGCTGCTGAGCGGGAATGAGAGAAAGAATTACTTGGAGGAAATTGTTAATGATAGCAGACTAATACAAATACGAGCCTAGGCATTAGTGCACGAAAGAGTACAAATATATTCATGCAATAAATTACCTACGATTTGTACTAATTTCATGCTCTTACCTC